TTTTCATATCAAAGAAGATTCACAATTATAAAAATGCTGTAAAAATGTTCCTCCCTTTCCAATCACGTATCTGCATAAAGCTAGATTTTCTTCATATACTTCGACCAAAACAATATATTGCAACAGATGGAATTAAGCAGTAGAAATCAGAAGTGAGCAGTTTTCTACTAAGTCAAACATACGAAACTTCAAAAAACATAAAACACTGCCATTCTTTTTGCTAAATATTTGTTTTGGGGAAGTTACATTCTTATTAAAACGACGCTAATATGAAATGACTTACTGTTGCTTTAAAATATTTTTTAAAAATTCATTTTAACTAACATGAGAAATGTAATAAACAAACCAAAGTTATTTGGGATTTTCAATGACTTGTAAGAGCATAAAGGGATTCTAAGACCAAAAAGTTTGAGAACAGCTGCCCCAGAGCTATTTGTATTTCTTGTAAATACACCATGATATAAGAGAGTGAATCCTCCTACAGACAAACGAAACGGATAAGGCACCCTGCCCAAAATAAGACAAGTCTATTACATTCTAAGTTATTCAATTTTCTATTTTTCTGTTCCCTCACAGTATTACTTAGCTTCATGATGCTGCCAACGTGCTTTTCTCACCTCTTCTAAGATACCATAATGCCAAGAAACCCATTAAATATAAAAGTAAATGGGCTCTGAAAAAGGATGTCCCTATGAATGAAGTTCTCAGGCTTTATTACAGCTGTTTTGATTACTTAGGTGTCACTTAACTTTTTACATTTTCAACTGGATTCCATATACCCAAAGTCATAGATGGATAAATAACTTCTAGATAAGTAGTTTCATTTTATTAATTTTTAATACTCTTCTACTGTTTGACATCCTACCAATTATAAAGTTTGGCAAGGCCTTCCTCTCATGGTGTGTGGAACAAAATTTGAAGTGACAAGAATAAAATGATAGAGTCCCACTGTGCTTAATTCATCAAAGCAAAGAATGACAACTGCAAAATTTTAGGGACATTATGACATAAAAGACATCTAACTTGAGAAATGTAAGAGAAAGGAACAAAATGGACAAGAAGGATACAAGGAAGTAGTGTGTATGTTTTCAGAGGCCAAAAGCTTAATAAAACAAGAAGGTAGAGGAGGCTATAGAGAGTCTTAATACATAGTAATACAAAACACTAATGTTATTTTAACAGTTAACCCTAAGATTACAAAAGAAAAAGAGAATCGAGAAAACAAAGTATAAATGAAAACAACATATTAATGAATATAAGTTCAACTGGCATGCACAATAAGTTGGAGCGCAAAAGAGATCGCAGAATAAAATGGCACTGATTAAATATTTCTATTGCATGTTTTGAGTAGTTTTCTGGGATGATAAATATGAATTAGTAAATCTGGAAAGGAGAAAAAGGCCAAATTTGATTAGCAACAGTTGAACATGGAGAAAGAAAAGTGAATGAATCTAACTATAAAGATAGGAAGCGAAAGGAATCAGAAGAAAAAGCTGAAAAGCTCGTTTTTTCTTACCTTTAGGAAACCTAGGGCAGAGGAGATAGCTAAAAGGTAAATTTAGAAACTGGAAGTAATATGTTCAAGAGTGAGTGATGATAAGCATCCACAAAGAAAAATAATGAGGAGGAAAAAAAAAAGAAAAGTGGAAAGCAGAAATGCTGAACTTGACTCCTTTCAAAATTCAAAAGCAAGGCCACAGGGCAGTAGTGCAGTGCTACCACAACACTGCAGTGCTGGAAGTCACATGAAAGTTCAGGGTTCTCAGTTCCCTGGCTGACCTGCACACACTGGACACACACACCTATGGGAAAGCTGGGAGAGGATCACCGTGTGAGACCCTTTCTCTCTCCAGAAATAAACTTTAAGCAACTGTAGAGTATAAGTCATGAATGCATTTTCTATGACAACAGCAAATACTGTGTATGCAGACACTAAATAATCTATTGTGAACAGCCAAGCACAGGTGCAATAGATGTCATTAGGAAAGAAAAGAGAAACATCTTCAGGGGTTTATAACATAGATGTTCCCAGAAATTAATGCATAAATAAAGCCTATTAACTGATAAATGAGCAAACAAAAGTCAAAATGAAAGGCAAGCAACAAAGCATATATATGCAAAAAAGAATCTGGGTAAGTAGCAATTACAAAAAAAAATTACTTTGCTATTCAACGTTATTAAAATTCTCTATAATCCCAAATACTTTGTAAGTACTGCCATAATCTACTTCAAAAACAAAAGCAGCTTAAATTCTAAATCATATTATCCATAAGCAATTATGTCAAATAAATGCCTAATATGCACCTAATTTTCTGAAATTTTAAAGTGTTTTTAGGAGTTATTGTTTACTAATAGCTGAATACCAACAATTTATAAAATAACCAAGTTTCAGAGATCTACAAAAAATATATGTAGAGTATTTCTACAGTATCACTTCATTATGAGAAACATCATGCAATAAAAATGTGGTTTCTATATTTGATTCTCTGTAAGCTTTTTAATACATGAAATCTTCAATCTTGATCAAGTGGCAAGGAGACATCATAACTTAATACCTGCTAGCTCAAGTTCTGAAAACTCATGACTACCTTAAATAAAGCCTTTAAATATGCATTTTTCAGTACAGTACTCTATATTTGCCAATTTAATCTAAGAAAATCCACACAATACCAAGAACATCCAAATTATGAAGCCATTTTAAAATACTTCAACTGATTGGGACCAGCAGTTAGTGTAGTGGCTATGTCGCTGGACTCCCATGCAGCCGACCAACCGACCAACCGTGGCTTGAGTCCCGGTGGCTTAAACTCACGCTGGTTTAAACTCACAGCGGGTGTGTGTGCGTTTGTGCCCAAGATCCCCAGAGAAGAAAGGAGAAGGGACTGCGGAGTGGCCATCCCCCCAGGGAGTGATTTCTCGCTTTCTGTCTCTCTGTCTCTCTTTGTCTGGCAAGTGTATGTGCCCTATAGCAAAAATCTCTCCAAAAAAATGTCAACTGATTATCTTTCTCTAAACCTCTTTTCTAACTTTTGTCACATTCTAAACAATGCTTCGGAAACAGAGTTTGATAGTAGTATACAGCCTAAAATAAACTACAAAGTAATTTATGCCTTGCTGAGGAAGGGAAAAAAAGGAACCAAGACACCAACAGAGGTGAATACCTCACTTTTAAAACATGATGCTTGTGTCTAGACATACTACTCTCCTCTCAAGGAAAAAAAATCAAGAACTGTATCTAAAAACGGGTTTATATATATATATAATTTACTAACACAGAGAAACATCTTCACAAAGTGATAATTCTCTGTAAAAGAGACTCTATTAAGGCTTTGTTGCTCTGAAGCCAAGTATAAGCCATATAAGGAAACTGAAGTTCAATGCCATTTATTTTGTTCTGCTCTTTCAAATGCCCAAGAATAACCTCTTTTGCTGCCTAATAATACATCCCAAAATCATAAAGCAGATCAGTTGTGCACTTTAAGTTCCTTGATAAAACTAGTTTGACAACAGGAATTACTTGTTGGTTTACAAATCTTACCAACAACTTAAATAATAATAATAATAATAAATAAATAATATATATTTTTAAATCTCCAGAGACTTAGCCTCTGGGGAAAAAAGAGAAATCAAACAATATATGGCAATAAAGAGCTAAAAGTTTTCCTTATTAAAATGTAATTAATAAAGATGAGGTAGCAAAGAACAAGTTGTGAAACAATTTGATCCTGATCTTTTAATATCTACCTTCTCCCTCTGAACTAAAGGTCAACTCTTTTCCTCAGATTTTTGGCAATTACTTGAGGGAAATTAAACATACCTTAAATGTATATTTAAGACATACCTATCAATATATAAAGAATTACCTATCACCCTTATTTACTTAATGTGTATTCAGAGATAGTGTTTTTCACTTGCTTTTACACAAAAGTACTTGGGGGGGGGGGAATAAAGTAAAAATCACACACACTAAACCGCCACTGGAAAAGCAGTTTGGATTTGCTGCAACCAAAACTAGTGGGATCTATAAAGAAACCCATTAGTTCCAAAGCGTTCAAAACTCACTGGTGGGATGTCTGCCAACCTTCACGAACTCCTGCTCCCACAGTAGGTAGGTACCTATCACTAATTAGGCAAAACCGACCGAAAACATTTGGGCCAAGACAACAATACAAAACCAAAACAAACCCCACAGGTTTCAATCATAATCAAGGCGATTCCCGTGAATAGCGTTTAAAGCATTTAGCTTCCCTTCCTACACAGCACGTTCTGAAATGCAAAGTAAAACAAGTCAAACTACTTAACAGGTGTGTGTTTGTGCTTTTAAGTTATACCCCTGCACTTATCCATAATCCTTATTCTCCTTTTTCTTCTCAATGGATCAGTTACAAGAAACGTCCAACAGATACTTGCTTTCATTAACCGAACTATAACCTTCTAAACGTACGAGAAAAACACTTTTCTGCGAATTAAGAAGTTACCCACCATGAAAAACAAGAATAGAAAAAGATTCTGTTTTTCAAATCCAACGAAATATATTCATATGGATTGGAAGAAGAAAAAAAATACTATACAGGATCAACGCAAAAGCCAAAAGAAACAGTATCAGAATAAACAAATGTGGCAGCCATCTCAATAACAGCAAATCTCCTCGTTGTAGCGACCTTTCTTCCAGAAACAAAGTTGCCAGATTCAGCGATCTCATATACATTGTATATGTTCCGGAAAACTCAAACTTCGGCACCTAGTGCTGAACAAAGGCAGTCTTTCTGCGGATTGCTGAAAACTTTCGTCCCACCGCATTCTTAAAACCTCCTCTTAAAAGACCAGTCCAGATGGTGGAAGGAAGAGAAGGCAAAAAGTTCTACCATTTAACAACTGAAACACTATCCACTTCGCTATAAGAATAGAAGAATTTAGGGCAACTTGGAAAAAAACTAAAGAACCATCTCTTTTCCGGCCCGTGAACTTTGTGACTTCTAGACACTTTTCGAGCAAATTACCTTTCGGTCGGACAGCGTCTCAGGGCAGCTTTCTCAAGGCTTCGCTTGACATGATTTCCTTCCCTTCATTAGTCACTTCGGATCCAGCCGAGTTTCTCTCCCCGGTGAGAGCGGATGTGGATGGCCTCCCGCGACTGGAGAGTAGGTGGCTCTGGTGGGGGCTGGGTTGCGGGCTGGCTTCCTGGTCTCGAGTTTTGCAGGAGTTTCCCAGCCCCAACTAGGATCTCCACCGAAAAAAAACTTTTCACTCGTGACACCGCCCGGAATTGCCGTGCGAAACTCACTTCCTGCCTTGGCGAGCTGCAGGATCCAGCTCCGTCCAGGGGAACCCGGAAAACCAGCTCCGCGCGCGCCCGGGAGGGGGAGGGGAGGGGGCGGCGTCCGCG